TCTTGACGCTTGACTCTGTTTCTTAAGATGAAGAAAAATTATTATATTTGGCCAAAGAAAATTCATAAAAAGCAGTCTTGCACTTGCCTTGGTTTTTTCATGTTCCTAAAACCAAAGTTAGTACATCACAAAAGCAGCTTTCACAAGTATTCTCTGTGGATCTCAAGTAAAATGTTTAGAGGCTTTCTACTTGACCTTATTCATTTCAACACTTCACTTGCTCTTCATATGACGTTGGGCACAGGAGGACTGAAATAAGGGCTGTGAGGAACAGAAATGTTTCAGAACTAAATATGCAATGGCCATGGATCCTGACCACTCTGAGATTGAGGCCAAGTCAAGGTCAAAACCATGGTTGATAACTAAATCTCATACTGAAATCCACCACTACCTCTTCCCCACCTCCCAGAGTGCTTAGAAGGGGAGGTTCTAGTCATAACCCTATAATAGGGGCTGGGAGAACAAAAAACTAAGAAAATAAAATGAGTAATGGCTGCAGAGGCCAAATTGGAACAAATTACCAAGAAATTATTCAACATACCCTAAATATTCATTGCATGTGTCTTACTATACTAAGTGTACCTTGCTTTGTAGGTTTCATAATACATAAAGAAACTCTTGAAATAGAAACTTCATTAATTTCATCTTTGTATAATAGTTCATGCTCTATAAATACTTGCTGAATTTAGTTGAATTTTATAGTGTGAGCAGATAAAAATTTCTCAGGCAGTTTTCAATGAACAAGTAAGATATGAAAGGAAAACAATCCAAATTACATTTATTGCATCTCAAATTCTTTCCTTTTTAAAGATTTATTTATTTATTTATTTATTTGAAAGTCAGTTACAAAGAGAGGAGGAGAGACAGAAATCTTCCATCTACCAGTTCACTCCCCACATGGCCACAATAGCCACGCATGGGCCAGTGTAAAGCCGGGAGCTTCATCCAAGTCTTCCCCATGGGTAGCAGGGTCCATCTTCCTCTGCTTTTTCCAGGCCATTAGCAGGGAGCAAGGCCAGAGGTGGAGCAGCCGGGACACGAATCAGCACCCATATGGGATGCCTTTGTTAAAGGTGGCAGCTTTACCCACTACTATACCACAATGCTGGCCCCTGCATGTCAGATTCTTATGTTAGCAGTGAAAACTCAGCAAGAGACCTTATTGATAATAAAGACAGTATTCATGAGTATATGGGCCCAATGATCTATAATAGACAAAAATATCAACATAATATCAGACATTTTCTATAATATATGGGGAAGAAATAAAAACGTATTATCATCAAACAGTACTAATCTATCAGTTTTAGTATTTTGTTAAAGATTTATTTTATTTATTTGAAAGGCAGTGTTACAGAGAGTAGTGGAGACAGAGAGAAAAAGAGGTCTTTCATCCATCTGTTGGTTCACTCCCCCAAATGGCCACAACGGCCAGAGCCAAGCCGATCTGAAGCCAGGAGCTTCTTCCGGGTCTCCAACCTGGGTGCAGGGGCCCAAGGACTTTGGTCATCCTCTACAGCTATCCCAGGCACTTTAGCAGGGAGCTGGATAGGAAGTTGAACAGCCAAAGACTCAAACTGGTGCCCATATGGGATAGTGCTTCTGCAGACTGGGGCTTTAACCTACTGCGCCACAACGCCAGTGCCCAGTTTTAGAACTTTTACTTCTGTTATAGTGTAGATAAAATGAAGAAACAAAGATACAACATTTTTCTCATTGATAACATCATCACCCATCAAAGAAACTAAAAACAAAACAAATAATGGAGAAAAGAAAGACTGGGACAAAATTTACTTAATATTTTAACTAGGAGTGGGTATTAGCTAGAGGTAATATTCTTCAATTTCCCACTTTGCTTTTATGCAAATTTTTTCTAGAGTGATCAAGCACTACCTTTATAATTAAGAAAGAATTTTAAGTGAAAAAATAGAATTGGGCTCCAGAAAAGGATAACTAAAATGAGCAAGAGAAAAAGTAGATTAATATGTATGGAAAAGCCAAAAATCACAGCATGGGATGACAGGAGGCAGTAACGGAAACAAACTGTAAATGAACAAGCATCAGTTTGTTCATCTTGAATAAGGAGAATGGGAGCAAGAGAAGCAAATTTCTGATATTCAAGAATCAAAAATGGTCCTGCTACTGTCTGTGGCATGCAGAATAACACCCCACCCCACTCCCAGCAAATTTCCATGTTCTGCAAATTTGGAAATTCCCGGAACCTGTGAATGTGGTACCTTACACAGCAAAGGGGACTTTGTCAATGTGACTAAATGAAGGATTTTGACAAGGGGATGTTTTCTTCAATTATCCACATGGACACACTGTGATAATAAGAGTCCTTATAAAATGAAGATGGGAGAATCAGCATCAGAGGTGACGTGATATTGGAAGCAGAGGTCAGTGTGGTCAACACACAGCCACAACCAAAGGAATGCTTGTAGCTGGAGGCTGAAAAGGCAGGGAAACTGAATGTTGCCTGAAGCCTCCAGAAGGAATGCAGCCCTGACAATGTAACTTAGCCAAGAGAGAATGATTTTGGACTTCTGATGTCCTGAACTGTAAGAGAATAAATCTGTGTTGCTTTAAGCTAGTAAGCTAGTGGTAATTTCTCACACTAGCAATAACAAACTAATAATACTGCCTGTTCATGCATGCATTCAGTTCCAGCTCCAGCCACCAACTTGCAGTTCCCTGTAACGCCAAACACCTTCAAACCTGTGCCTCAAACACCTCTCCCAACCATCTGCCTAGATCCTGTCTTCTTCAAGAGTAACTTCAGTCATCATTTCTCCTTGGAATCTTTGCTTACACTGAGCTCCTCTGTCGCTCCCCCATTCGCGGAGGAACGACACAGGACCCTGCGCTGTTCCTTTTGCCTGGCCCTTCCCGGGTTAGCTGCTGTTTCCCCACTCGCGGAGGAACGATGCCGTCCCGGGTTAGCTGCCGGCCCCCCCACCTCCGTGGAGGGGCGGCACCCCCCGCCGCTTTCCCCGCTTCCGCGGAGGAACGGCATACCGCCTGCCGGCTCTCTCAGGGGCTGCTCAGGTGTTCCTCAGGTGTTCCTGGTGCATGCGCCATATTGTGGGAGAGCAGATGCATAGAATAAGTCTTAATTCCAGTAACTTAATCTAGTCTCAGTTGTTCCCCACACTCCTCCACTGTCCAGTACCCCCAACATGCCTCCTTTTAGCATTTCTCACACTTCAGCTGCAATCATCTATAATCTTATTCCTGTTTGTACCACTTTGCCAAGTCCTTAATAAGTAGCTCTGTTACTTGTTCCCCAGTTATCTTCAGGGTCTCTCTAATAACATAGCAAACTTACAAAGAATCGCGCCTACTCCTTTGTGCATGTACACATGTGTGTCTCCCCTCCATGTGAATAAGACTCAGTATTCTATGCCCATACCCTCAAACACACACACGCACACATACACAGCTGCAGGGGCGGGGGCTGGTGCTGTGGTGTAGCAGTTAAAGCCGGCATCCCATATGGGTGCCAGTTCAAGTCTTCGCTGCTCTACTTCCAATCCAGTTCCTTGCCAATGGTCTGAGAAAGCAGTGGAGGATGGTCCAAGTGCTTGGGCCCCTGTACTCATGTGGGAGACCCGGAAGAAGCTCTTGGCTCCTGGCTTCAGCCTGGCCCAGTCCCGGCCATTGCAACCATTTGGGGAATGAACCAGTGGATGGAAGATCTCTCTGTGTCTCTCTCTGTCTCTCTCTCTGTCTCTGTCTCTCTCTCTCTCACCCCCTGCCTTATCTGTAACTCTGCATTGACCTGATCCAGCTCCAGCCATTGCAGCTACTTGGGGAGTGAACCAGTGGATGGAGGATATTCATTCTCTCTCTCTCTCTCTCTCTCTCTGTGTGTGTGTGTATGTGTGTGTCTCCTTTCCCTGTAATTCTGCCTTTCAAATAAATAAATAACTCTTGTTTTTAAAAGAAAAACAAATATAGTGGTCAACAGGAGAGAGCAGTTGATAGTGGTTTAGAACCAGAACCTTCCAGTTACATAGAACTGGATAAAAATCCAGTTTCACAACCTACTGCATGCCCTTGGACAAATTATTTAACTTCCCTGAGCCCATCTAGCTCATCTGTATAAAGGGGATAATAATAGACACTTTCTCATAAAGTTAATTCTCATTACAGAAGATATTTCATGTAAAATGTACAGCATGGTGCCAGATACAAAGCAAGCAATTAATATTCAGCAGATATTAATGGGGTATATTTAAAGCACTCAGCACATTTCTGCCCAATTATTTCAAAGTTGTTTCCTTACACATTAGGATATGTTGTGAAATACACACATACACACACACACACACATACACATTCATTTACTCTACAGACACAAACAGTGACAAATATAAAAGATTGCTCCACCTTGATCTTTTCTATGGGATGAGGAGCTCATTGCCCCTGCAGCAACCTAGAGTTCGGCTGCTAAAGACTCACAGCGGATTCCCACTTTAGAAGTTGCCCCCCACTTAACTTCCTCATCTAAGTCTTCACCCCCTCCTGGAGTATAAAATCCAACCCCTTTGTTTTAGTTCAGGATCATTCTGAAGGGTCACTCTAGCTGCAGAGCTCCTTGTGAGATGTGCAGAGGCCTCTGTGGAAACTCTTCAGCTTCCCCCTCTTCTTCACAGAGATTGCTCTCAAGATCATTTCTCAAGAAACTTATTACCAATCTGCATCTCAGAGTCTGCTTTCCCAGGAACCTGGATTAAGTCAAACAACCATAATATGGACAAGGCACTGCTGTTGAGCAAGGTTAGCAAATTTCTGCTTAAGGCCAGATCAGACACAAAAAGTTCATAGAAGTGCTTATGGTAAAAAAAATTATACATGAGTTTCCAAAGGTTTTTGCATAAAAATAAACTTATCTTTTAATTCCATTTTTCCACATGCTTTTTGAAAAACTCTTATAGTACATGCTTTAGATTTTGGTAGGCTATATGTTCTTTGTCACATATATTCAATTCTGCAACTCTGGAGTGAAAGTAACCATAGATAATACCTAAATATGGCTGTGTTCCAATAACTTTCCTTTGTGGACACAGGATTTGAAATTTCATGTAACATTTGCATCTCACTGTTCTTATTTTGGTTTGTGAGGATGTTAGACCATTTCAAAATGGAACAAAAACATCCTTAGCTTTCAGAAGTGTCAGAAATAGGTGACAGGCCAGATTTGGCCAATATGCCATACCTAGTTTGCCAATCCTAAGCTAGAGGAAAGGGTGAGAGCAGTGAAGCTCTTAGGAAGTTACCACTCTAGTGAAAGTGTTTACAGAATTTAATATGGGACCCACCGCTTGTAACCCTTCTTGGTTCCAGGTTAAGAAGGCATGGGGAAAAGGAAGAGAAAAAATGAGAAAAAGTAAGATTCATCACTTCCTTTGAAGCTTAGTACAACCAAGAAAATTCATACATTTAGCAAAATAAAACTCAATGGTTAAATGTTCAATATGTGGTATTTTCCATCTAGAAAATCTCATCTCCACCAATAAACAGAATTTGAGGATTTGAGTGGCTGTTGTGTGGCTATTGCTGTAGATAAATAATTATTCTAAAGGAAAAACACAATTGCAATTTGCTATTTTTTAATATTTACAATATATTTTAAAATTATACAGGATAAAAGAAATAGAAAGATATATTTTGAAAAAATGTTTAAACATTCTATCCAAATATAGCAGCCTTCTACAGTCCATTTCCCTCAAGAACAACTTGAAGGAATTCACTTGAGTACCAAACACAGTAACTCTTTTATAAAAATATATTTATTTATTTATTTGAAAGGCTGAGTTACAGAGAGGCAGAGAGAGAGAGAGAGAGAGAGAGAGAGAAAGTCAGTCTTCCATACGCTGGTTCACTCCCCAAATGGCCTCAATGGCTGGAGCTGGGCTGATCCAGGAGCCAGGAACTTCCTCCAGGTCTCCCTTGTGGGTGCAGGGGCCCAAGCACTTGGGCCATCTTCTGCTGCCTTCCAGCAGAGAGCTGGATCAGAAGTGGAGCAGCTGGGACTCAAAGTGGTGCCCATATGGGATGCTGGCACTGCATCTTTACCCACTATGCCACAGTGCTGGCCCCAAACATATTAACTCTTTATCCTGAAACTTTTTGGCTTTTCAGTTTTGCCATAGTGTGTTTCATTCTTAGTTGGCTTGTCCTCTTGTTCAGTATCTATACTGAATTAAATGAATTGTAGCCTTTTCTTGTTTGATTTTTTTAACTTTGTTACTGTACAGACCTCTCTTTGAAATCATTCTGTACAGCTCCTCTTCTCACACTTCTCATGATGATTTTCTTTCTATGCGATTTCATCTTAATTCATGCCTCACTTCTTGGTGACCTTTACTTCTCTATCTCATGACTATCATTTACAACCCCCTCCTGCACATTCTCAGAATGAATGAATAAGTGTTTCTTTGGTTTTGAGTCATTGAGAGAGAGGAATGGAAGCATCCTCCCTATGGATTCACATTGCTATACTGAGAAATATGAAGACTAGGAGTGCTGATCTCAGTTGACACCAACTGTAATAGGCGGCTAATGACTATATCCTTAGCTTTTGAGGCCTCCAGATTCTTGTCTCTAGATACTTGAAGACTAATTTGGTCCACACTTGTCATGATAAGTTCAGATGCCAGAATCTGGGTAGGAGAACTGTCATGAAACATGGTGTCCATAATGTACTGTTTGTATAACTCCACCACCTTCTGCTCCAGGTACTCATTCAGCACTGCATTAGAAATAGGCTTCTGCATTTGTAGGCTGCTTTTCTCTTTGATGCTCGTTATTCTCCAGTAGGATGAGTACCGCTGAACAGGTTTTGGGGGAAAGTCACTGGGGTGAGTGGAAATGGAATCCTCCATGGGCAAAGGAATCTCAGACGACTTCAGCAAAGGACCATATTCAAAACTGCTCTCAGAAGGGAAGTCTGTTGACACTGAGTTAATGGCCATCACCTGTCCCCCTGCAATATGCAAGTCATTGTAATTCTTGCAGATACTCTTGCAGGAAGGTGGAACCAAGTAGGTCTCTCTGCTGGGCTCTCTACATATTTCAACTGCAGGCATGTTTGGACTTTCAAACACAGGATTGGGGTTTGTCTGCAGCACAGTGACTCTCTGACTTCTACTCTGTTGGCTGTCTCTTGAAGTCACTGAAGAAATGAACTTGCCAGAGGATTTGCAGCTCACAAAGAGACTTCTGACTTGTGTTTCATCCATGGAGGAATAGGAAAGAGCAGCAGTGGAATTCGTCTCTTCTTCCTTTTCCTCAGCCACCTGCTCATTACAAGATGTGCAACTCCAGTGGATGTCATTCCAGCAGGCAAGTCCACTGAGATACCCTTCTGACAGCATTCTGGAAAGAGAATTAAGGAGTAAAAATGGGGACAAAGAAGACTGGGTTCTTAAAAATTGACAGTTGATGCAACAGAAAAGTAAAGAACAGTGAATGAGTTCATGCCATTCATTCAAGAAGCCATTACCAATTCTGTGTCTGTTGTATACCAGAACTGTGGCATGTGCTGAAGATGAAAAAGGATATAGTTCCTCCCTTCAGGAAGTTTCCCACTATGAGAGAAAACAAATTGAATATAAACAATCTCAACATTTTATCACTGAACATTATAATATTGATAGGCACAAAGAAAGTACAGGGGAAGGGCTTCTAACAGTCTGAGAAGGGGGAGAAGTTACAGGCTGTGTCATAGAGAAGCTGACATGTCAGTTGCCTGTTGAAGAGTAAGTAGGAGTTCTATCCATAGAAAGAGAGTTATAAAAGAATATGGTGCCATAGCCTATACACCACATACCAAATAGCTGAGAACAAGCAGAAAGAGCTTGGAAAACAGGGTGGAACTGGATCATGAAAGACCTTGGGAATGAAGCAGAAATTTGAGTTCCGTCTCATGGAAAATGGAGAGTGATCAAAAAAGCTTGCATATTGGAGGGCAGCATATCTAGTGGATATGAGAACTATGGTGAGGAAATCCAAGGCAAAGTCTGCTGAAAACAAAAGCTGTATCTTACTCATCTTTGTATTTTATCCTCTGGAACTAGCACAGTTACTTGCATTTAGGAGGAACTCAAAAGATTTTTGTTAATTTAAATTTAGCAATGACAACCATTATATAGTATGAAATTAATCCATACTCAACATATCATGAAGAGCCACAAAGTTTTACCTACCTTTACAATCCAGAAGAGACTACAACCCCTCCCACTTCTCAAAATACGTTCAGGAAATGTCTCTGCACTCAACTGATGTGTTTACCTCTGCCCTAGTTACCAAGGAGCTTTCCTGACAGTGGGTTTTCCCTACACCTGCCTCCCCTGCCTATCCTCAGCAGTTGTCACTGAGGTCTGGAGTGGCCAGAATAGGCTAGAAACAGCAGCTGCATTTTCTAAAAAAGGAACACACTGGCATTCCTGGCAATGGGGCAACAGGCAACAGCAAGAAAAAGTCCTCTTTGGCCTCAAGGGCTGGGCTTCTAAAACAAACCTGCCAACTTGAGCCTGAAATTGGAAAGTCACATTAGACAGAAAGGGATTGTTTTAAACCATATTCAAAGGCCATTTTCATATAAAATAGTACCTCTTTTACATTCATGTAGCTATTATTTTGCAAGTAAATGAAATATGTTCCTCTTTTTTAGTTGTATAAGGGTAATATTATAAATGTTTTTCTCTTTTGGAACTATTCCCAGGTATATTCACCAAATTTATCAGTTATTTAAATCCTTTTACTATATTTTAGGCATAGTTATGTGCCATAAAATACAAAGCTGAAGATTTTAAACAACTCCTTGAGGTATTATTGTAAGCTGAGCACACTTACAAAGAGAAAATGCTGTCCTTTCCTAAGAAAGACTTTTCAAAATACAGTTCAACAAGCCTAACATCCATGTGTAAAGGTAAATCTTACATGCATGAAAATATAATTAACAGAGCAAAAGAATTTATCATAAAGGCCTCATAATGATGCACTTACTTCCCAGTTCTCCCCAGCCTTGCCTATCCCTCCCCAGGAGACAGACAGTTCATTCCATTTGTAAGGCCTCAAGGTACAACTGTGGGAAATCAAGGCAAATGTACTGTTGACTTTTAAATTCCTAAGTAGGTTTTAGAAATTCTCGGCAGAAGTAATTGTGGTACAGCTGGTTAAGCTGCTGCCTGCGATGCCAGCATCCCACGTGAGTGCCAGTTTGAGTCCCAACTGCTCCACTTCTTATTCAGCTCTCTGGTGATGCACATGAGAATGTAGTGTCAGATAGCCCAAGTACTTGTGCCCCTGCTGCTCACATAGGCGACACAGATGGAGTTCCAGGCTCCTGGTTTCCGCTTGGCCCAGCTCTAGCGATTGCAACCATTTGGGGAGTGAATCTGCAGATGGAAGAGTTTCTGCCTCCCTCTCCCTCTCCCTCTCCCTCTCTTTCTCTATTCTCCTCTCTCTCTCTCTCTCTCTCTCTCTCTCTCTCTCTCTCTCTCTCTCTCATTCTGCCTTTCAAACAAACAAATAAGCCTTTTACAAACCTTTTTAATAGTTTTGGAGAAACAGCTTGTTATATACTATAACCTGAGATTTGAAGCTTCAGAATCCAGAACCATGAAAGACTTAGGGTATAATATTTATGCACCAATAAAAGACTCAAGTGGACCAAATTCATCATGGCTGAGAAGAAGAGAAATTGACATCAGAGCTTCCTGAACTCAAGTGGGCAAGCAGATCACCCTTCATTCAAACCCACAATCAGTAGAGCCCAGGAAGCTACTTGGATCTCCATCCTTAAATATAAGTGTGATTTTGAAAAATCTCAGGAGAGGTTTGATATCTGAGACACCAAAATGGTCACTTGAAGGAAGTAAAGTATATGGGGGTATCATGGCAGGAATCTCTACCTTCAATATTCTCAGAGTTAAGGGATAATATTATAATCTTGAATTACAAATGAGATACTATTTTTAAAATAAGTATTCCAACGTCCTTGGAAATTAAAAATGATAATTTTAAAACTCAATAGAAGGATTTGAAGATAAAGTTTAAGCAAATCCTCATTTTGAGAGTGAAAGAAAAATGCAAGATAGAAAATAGTAGAGAGAAGGTAAAATTCGAAAAACAGTCCAGGAGATCCATTATCTGAATAACAAACAGAAGGTTTAAAAAAAGAACAAAACAACTATGTGAGAAATTCAAAGAAACAATTTAAGAATGTTTCTCAGAATTGCAGGACATGAGTTCCCAAAATCGTGAGTAAAAAAATATATCTACACTGCCACTCATTATTACAAAATGATAGAACACTTGGAATAAAAAGAAGATCCTCTAAGTTTCCAAAGAGAAAAGTCAAACACAAAAAGACCATGAACCAGAATCTTCAGAGTCCTCAGTAGCAATGTAGGCAAACAGTAAGACAATGAAAAAAAAGTCTAAATTTTTGAATGAAAGTTATTTTCCTTTAATTTTTTTCTTTTTTTAAAGATTTATTTATTTTATTTGAAAGGCAGAGTTATAAAGAGAGAGGGCGACACAAAAACTTCCATCTGCTGGTTCACCCTGCAAAAGACTGCAATGATGGGAGCTGGGCCAGACCGAAGCCAGGAACTTCTTCAGGGTCTCCAACATGGATTCAGGGGCCCAAGAACCTAGGCCATTTTCCACTGCTTTCCCAGGTGCGTTATAAGGAAGCTGGATTGGAACCAGTGCCCATATGTGATGCAGAAATCGCAGGCGGCAGCCTAACCCTCTATGCCACAGCACTGGTCCCATATTTATTTTTTATTTATTTGAAAGGTGTAGAGACAGAGGCAGGGAGAGGCAAAGAAAGATGTTCCAACTACTAGTTCACAACGTGTATGCTCACAAAAGCCAAACTCTGCCAGGCCAAAGCCAGGAGCCTGGATGTGAATCTGGGTTTCCCTTGTGAGTGGCAGGGACCCAAGTACTTGACCCATCATCTGCTGTTTCCCAGGGTGTGCAGTAGAAGGAAGCAGTAAAAACCAGGACTCAAACCAGGCACTCCAATACAGGTTGCAGGCATTGCAAGTGGTGCCTTAACCACTGTGCCAAACCCCACCCTAAATGAAACCTACTTTTAGCCCAGAATTTTATAACCAGAAGTTGTGCATGAAAAAATAAACTATTGTTTACTGCTTATAAGTAGCTTTTACATAGCCATGATACTATATATAAAACACTGAAAATTGATCTAACCAAATTCATATATAACCACCAGGTGACTATGAAGTTAAAAAAGATAATATGATTTTATCTTATAATACAAATAAATGTGTCCAGACAAGGTGGCCACTCCTTATAGTGAGAGGTCTGGGATAAAGATGTGTATACTATGGATTAAATTCACCAACCAAAAGATTTAGGTTCGGTGAATGTATAAAAAAAAAAATCAGGGCCGGCGCCGTGGCTCAATAGGCTAATCCTCCACCTTGCGGCGCCGGCACACCGGGTTCTAGTCCCGGTCGGGGCGCCGGATTCTGTCCCGGTTGCCCCTCTTCCAGGCCAGCTCTCTGCTATGGCCAGGGAGTGCAGTGGAGGATGGCCCAGGTGCTTGGGCCCTGCACCCCATGGGAGACCAGGAAAAGCACCTGGATCCTGGCTCCTGCCAACGGATCAGCGCGGTGCGCCGGCTGCAGCGGCGGCCATTGGAGGGTGAACCAACGGCAAAGGAAGACCTTTCTCTCTCTGTCTCTCTCTCTCACTGTCCACTCTGCCTGTCAAAAATAAAAAAAATAAAATTAAAAAAAAAATCAAACCCCACTATATGCTGCCTACAGTGCAATCACTTCACAAAGTACACACAGACTGTAAGTGAAGGATTGGAAAAAGATATTACAGGCAAATGGAAATCAAAAGTGAGCAGACATAGCTATCCTAATATAAGGTAAAACAGAATTTAAATCAAAAACTGTAAAAGATATAAAAAAGGATATTGTATTTTGATAAGGTTCAATTCAGCAAGAATACATAACAATCATAAATATATATACACCCAACACCCCCCAGTTATATACAGAAAATACCATTAGACCTAAAATGAATGATAGACTGCATCACAATAATAGTGAGTGACTTCAACACCCCATTCTCAACAATAGACACATCATCCAGACAAAAAAAAATCAATAAAGATAAATTGGAGTTGAAACATACTGTCGAGCAAATGGACCTAATAGACATTTACAGGACATTCCACCCAACAGCTACAGAATACACATTGTTTTCATTAGCTCATGTAACATTTTCTAGGAAAGACCACATATTAGGCCAAAAATCAAGTCTCAGCAAATTTAAAAGATTGAAATCATACTATATATCTTCCCAGACCATAAAAGAATAAAACCAGAAATAAACAAGAAGAACAATAGAATACTCATAAATACTTGGAAATTAAACAACATACTACTAAATGATCAATGGGTTATTGAAGAAATGAAAAAGGAAATCAAAAACTTCCTTGAAACCAATGAAAATGAAGCACAACATATCAAAACCTGTGGGGTATAGCAAAAGTAGTATTAAAAGGGAAGTTTATAGCACTAAGTGCTTACATTAA